CCTGGACGAGTGGACGAAAAATAATGCTTAGCTCAATAAACTACATTTCACAACAAAGATTAACATATTTAACAAGGATAATGTAATTGAGTCAAGTGTTTGTAAAGGATTTTGAGAGATATCATTTCTTTTAAGAAAAAACCACCAGATAATTTTAAAATGAATGGTTACATGAAATTAAGCCTTCGGTCCTTAACCTTGTTTTTCTAGATACCTCTTGCTGGCAGATGGAGAGTTTGGCCGGCAGCTGGTTTTATCCCTCTGCTACCTCGGTAGAGAAATTAGGGAGCCAGGGGAGCTAGCTGGAGAGATTAGGGAGCATATTCACTATGGAGCTCCTCCGCCACTCATTCTCTGCCCAACGTCTCTTAATAGGTAAAGAAGAAGTAGCAGTTTATCTAAAGATTTTATGGAATTTGTAAGTCTTCAATTTGTGGCAGATTATTTGGACTAAAATACTTGAGACAGATTTATGGATTATCTGTAACAGATTGTTTGTATCTAAATGAGACAGATATATGGATTGTTTGTAACAGATTGTTTGTATCTAAATGATGATAAGTTATAGGAATTTAGGTATACAATGCTAACCAAGATTAATCTTTGATGAACTCATCACACGGGGGAAGAAAAAACATCATATAAAGCAAATATAAAAAGTTTATGAATATTAAAAGAGAATAAGAAATTTAAATATCTCTAATTTAGGAAACTGTTCCAATCCTACCATATCCATCATTAAATCTTTATTCTCATCTTGAATTTATATCTAACATGTTAAATGTAGTTTCCTATTTTTGAAATAATTAATTTTGATAATTTTCGTTCATAAATCTTAAATTTGAAGATTTAATTTTAAATCTCGGGAAAAAACCAGAAATCCGCCAAGAGATACTTAGTGGTTGCTGTGGATAATTGTCATTAAACCACCAGTGGGGAAGAGAAACCAGCTGAGCAAGTTATGAAAAGATTTAAATTTATATTTTTTGACCTCAGTAGATGTGTCTTAACCTTTTAACCATTACATTTCTAGAGTTCTAGAAACAGCCTTGAGCGCCTCCCTCCTTGGTACCGGAGATCCATTCTCCCGAAACCTTAGCTTCGGTCTCTCGGAGAACCCGGAGCAGAACCTTGGCATCCCTGGACTCAGCCTTAGATATAGAGCTCCGTGGCCAGCTAACATTCTACTCTCAGAGGTACGATGGGTTGTAATCTGAACATATATTTTTCTTGTATGTTTGTTCAGTTGATGTTCAAAGTCGACCAGGGACAAAGGAATTGAGTTTTTGTCACAAATTCTTATTTTTTAATCCCTTAATATCTTTGCAACCACATGTCGTAGACCTTAGATATTTCAAACTTTGAATTTTATTAGATCAAATAATCCAAGTTTGAAATATCAAAGGTTTTAAAAATCAAGTTGGAAAGGAATAGGGATTAGAAAATTTGAGTTTGAGGCAAAGCCATCATATCTTAGTTGTTGGAACTTTTGTCTTGTGACCCACGGGAAGGTTTTATAGAAATAATGTTTACAGTTGAAGTTATATTTAAGAAATAAGAGCGCCTTGGAAGTGTACGGTCTGATTGGCAAGCTTTGTTAAGGAAAACAAATAGATTTTCCCGTGCTTAAATGTATTTTTAGTGCAAAGAATTTGGATCCGTTGGATCCGTAACATTTTGGCTTCCTGGCTCCCTTGATCTGGATCCAAGGGGCAAAAAACCAAAAATGTTACTCTCAAAACACAAATCAAAATTGTTAACAAGTAAGAGATAAAAAAAACTTTTTTAACCTTTGAAGGGTTTACTAAGTTTTAGCGAATAAAATAAGTAAAAAGAAGAAGAAAAAGTGTAAAAATTTTCATTTGATTAAAAAAAAATCAGGACCTGGATCCGGATCTGGATCAGGGTCCTCTTTTTTTCCAGGGCGAATCCGCATCAAAATGAAATGGATCCTAAGCACTGGACTTATTTTATCAGATATTGTGAGTTATCTCAGATTGTTAACAGATAACAGGATACAACAGCAAAATATATAATCTTTCTGTCACGTTTTAAACACTTTTTTTCTTAAGGATGTTTTGAAAAAGTATTCAACGGTCCTGGACTTTATGTTGAACCTAAGAACTTGTTTGGCTGGGTTGGAGCAGGATTGGAGTAATGAGAACCTAGGACGGAGAGAGGAGAGAAGAACCAGGAACTATACTCATCATAGGATTAATATTATCAGGTTAGATAAAGACATCTTTTCCACCACTTTTTATTAAAATTCTATGGTTTTTATCACTAACTTCAAAGTTGGTTAAAAAACTCCATTTTCGATTCCGATGGGATAAAAGTACATTATTAATATTCATTTTCTAGTGAACTTTTTAAAGTTTATTCTGTTCGTAACTTCTTACACACTCAAGCAATGTGTACTGCATCCGGGTAGTTGATTGATACAAATATTGCTGAGAAATGCCAGTGAAAAAGATATTTTTATTTTGTATTTGTAAAATGTTATTTAAACTCTATCTTACTTGGAGTTCATCTCAAATGTTTTCTTCTATAGTTTCTTATAACATAAATCTCATGTTTTAGACATGAAATGTTGAATTTTATCCGGAACCTGCACTCCTATGTTGCTGCACAAGTATTAGATGTTTCATGGCTTGAGTTTCAGGTACTCATAGAATAAAGATAGATTGAGAGACAGATAGATAGACAGAGAGACATACAGGTGAACAGGGCAGATAAACAGACAGTCAGACAGAATAAAATACAGAGAGAAAGATAGGGGGACAGAATTATACAAAGACAGGTAGATGGAAAGACAAGGCACAAGACACACAAGACTGAAAACACAGGACACAAGGACACATTAACACAAGGGGACGAATACTAGGACATAAGTATACAAGGACATAGGACAAGACCAGACCAGACAAGACCAGATTGACAGACAAGATAAAATTCTGCCCCCAGGTGAACCTGACGAGCAAGGTGACCTGCCTGGACGAGTTGATTAGGTTCCACACCAAGTACATCAACAGAGTTGTATTCAGGTTCAATATAATAAACTAAACTAATATAATAAACTAAACTAATATAATAAACTAAACTAATATAATAAACTAAAGTAGATTTTATATTAATATCTTGCAGGTTTTCATAAATAATCTATTGTCGGAATAACTGTTGATTAGAAAAAAAGGTTTTTATTTCTTTTATGTGAAAGCAAACATTGTGGGTAGAAAGAAAACTAGAGAAATTACAATGCCGCAAAGTCGTATCAATAAGTCCGCAAAAATCAGGCCATGTTAATTTTGGTCGAATTGTAGTTATTTATAGTAGACTGATTTCGATGTTAATGTTAGTACTCTACATGATAAGAGAAGTGAGTTTTGTTTATTATGATATTTCCTTTATTTAATGAGAAAGAATAATTTATATAACTATATATTTAGATGTTTACATGAGATGAGTAATTTATTATTATTATTTATTCAGATGTTTACTGAACCAGAAGGCAGCTCCTCTCATGAAAATTATAAACAGCATATTTATCTCAATCAATAAATTCTCCAGGTAAAGAATATTTAAAAATAATATGCAAAAACTTACGATAAGGTAAAGAACGGAATTGATCTCCTAAAACGTGTGATTCTGCGCTCCCCCCACACCCCCCACACTCACACATCATAAGTTCTTTGTTTTTGCAAATATTATTTCAATTGTAACATTTCATGATTTGACCACTCAACCGACAATCCATATGATAAACTCAAAATTTCAAAAGGGTTTGTGTTTCATTTTGTTTTTCTACAAGCTACCAGTGAAATTATAACGACTACGCTATAATATTTTTTTATTTTAAATTTTAGCTACGGGTCTGTCAGGTTGGGTAAACTGGAGGAGGAGGAAATGTTGAAACAGTATCAAACCTTTCAGAAAACTAGTAGGTTCGTACACAGTTATTATTATTATAATATTATTATTATTATCATCATTACTGTTTCTTTTCAAACTCATTTTCAATTAACATTTTTCTAAATGCATACATACCTTTTTATTTGTGGAATTGTATTGATGAATTGAAAAGGTAGTTGACAAAATTTTAAATTTGTAATGTTTGCCACAGTTATGTGCTATTTTTTATGACAGAGGGGGGGGGGGGGATATTCAGAAGAAAAAAAAACAATATATTACTATTCTACAATGTTAGGTTCTTGTTTGATCTTGTAACTAAACTGTGCTCCAGAGGATACGAACCTCATTTTCAGGTATGTTCTCTTTAGATTTATATTTTTAATCTTTAAATAATTTAGTGGAATCCATAAAACTTTGGAAAAGAAGACTCCATTTAAATAGTTTTATGAACATAAACACATCAATTGTGCAGTATATACAAGCCCATTTTGGATTTTCTAGCTACTGGTAAAACTATATTTGACCTTTTTTGGTAACTTTGGTAAAAGCATTTTTAAGAATATGATTTGATTTGATTTGCACAATTATTTTTTTGTTTTATCTTTTCAGCTCTTTTTTATGTTCTTAATAAATTTAGGATTTGTTGCTGAGACTCAACTTTAACGGATTCTATAATTCTTCCCTTGAACCTGTCAGACATTAGTTCCATCTAAGTGACTTGGATACTTGGATATCTTGGATACAAATCATCGATCACTGGATATCAGTGGATATTTAGTAGACATATAAATGCTAAATGGTACTAAAAATCAGACAGTATAGCCAGGTATATACTGCAAACATTCATCTCCTTCATTTTTAATAATAATCAACTATTTTCAATTTACTTTAGATTAATCTATGAATAAATATTATATGGATTTAAGAAACAAATGTTTAAACTATATTTATTTTTATTTCTTGCAGATGAAAAATGTAGTTTGTAAACGATAGACACTGGCTGGCAGTGCTGATGGTGTGAACGGTGTTAATGATGTTGATGATGTAGAAGACGTTAACGATGTTGAAACAGATGGTGATGAACAGTCCCAAAGACTGAGAATGATGTCTACTGAAGATTTGAATGATGATGTTCTTGAGAAAATATTTCGAAATCTGGAGTTTAAAGATCTCCTAGCCGCAGAACTGTGCTGCAAACAGGTAAATAGAATATTCCTGTAAAATTCAGAATTGGTTAAAAGTGTTCTCTATCTGTAGAATTTACAACTCCCAAAGTAGGAGATGAATTACATCATCATCAGTCCTTAGAAATGAAAATCTAGTTTTGAACTGATATAATATATTCTTGTAACATGAATTTATTGAAGACTACCTTGGGAACCAAGCTTTGACTAGAAAGTGAATCTAAATCAACTTCGAACTTAAAAACCAAGCTAAAACCATTTCCGTGGTTCTACCGAATCAAAAGTTGACACAAATTGGTCCAGGGGTTCATGATTACTGTTTATTTAAGACTAGCTTAGGAACCCAGCTTTGCATGGAAACTTAAATTTTCAACTTTGAACTTTTAAACCAAGCTTAAAAACATTGTCGTGGTTCTAACAAGTTCCCCAATCCCATTCAAAATTTGAGGCAAATCGGTCAAGGGTTTCATGAGTAAGATCGGCTATAGAATCAAACAAACAGAGCTTAATATTTTATAAAGATAAACATGAGCTGGGTCTTATCCTTTACATCTAGGTTTTTCTTCGATCAGACCAACTTTTTTATTGTAACTCATGACCCAAGGAAAGGTTATGGTAGGTCGAAATTCAGAAACTTTGTCCGGAAAAGTTAGGTCACTAGAAAATACTATGAGAGTCCTTTTAACAATATTCTAACTGTTCTTGTTTGCAGTGGAGAAGGGTGATATCTGAAAGAAGATTGTTCAGACAACTGACAAGGTAAAAAAAAATTTATATACTAGTTTGGAAACCCAGCTTTGCTTTGTGTTAAAGTAAACGCTCTTTGATTCTTTAAAGGGCTGCATGAATTATATTCGGAGATTTAAGAAATCTGGGGAATCAATTTTGATTTTGTTCATTCCTCGGCATTTTTCATATTTTAATTCATGATTAACATATACTCAAATTCATGACTAAACTGTTGATGGACGAAAGCGTTTAGTATAACAAACGTTCTTGGCTTCCGAAAAATGTTGGATAGAAATATTTTTTTATATTTAGGAAGTTGTGCAAAAGGAATATCAGTTTCAAGTTTAGTCGAGTTTCATATAACAAGCACCTGAAGGATGTTAGGAAACAGTCTCTCAATCTATACAAAGCACTTAGAAGAAAGAGATGATAGGATAAAAGTCCCTAAGACCACTCTGAAGAAAAAGGAAAAAATGAAACAGTCCTTTTAAAGTCTTCATTGGGCAGTGTATGCAAAAAGTATATGAAAGGGAACAGTTCCTTCACCAATACAGACAGAGCAATAAGGAGGAAAAGATGACAGAACACGTGGTCCCTTTTCAGATCACTATAATGTGGAGATTGAGAATATGGTAGAACACACTACATTTACCATTTCAGATCATCAACAAGGCGGAGAAGAGGACAGAACACAGCCCATTGCCCTGTTCAGATCATCACAAGGCGGAGAAGAGGACAGAACACAGCCCATTTATCTGTTCAGATCATCACAAGGCGGAGAAGAGGACAGAACACAGCCCATTTATCTGTTCAGATCATCACAAGGTGGAGAAGAGTACAGAACACAGCCCATTTATATGTTCAGATCATCACAAGGCGGAGAATAGATAAAACACAGTCCATTTACCTGTTCAGATCATCACAAGGCGGAGATGATGAGAGAACACAGTCCAGTTACCTGTTCAGATTATCATCAAGGCGGAGAATATGATTGGTTACCGTCCGTTTACCTGCTCAGATCAGCAACAAGATGGAGAAGATGACAGAACACCGTCCTTTTACCTGTTCATATCATCAACAAGGCGGAGAATATGATTTACCTGTTCAGATCATCAACAAAGACGAGGAGAAGATGACGGAACACAGCCCTTTTACCTGTTCAGATCATCATGTCAACAAGGCAGAGAAGATGATAGAACACAGTTCATTTACCTGTTCAGATCATCAACAAGGCGGAGAGGATGATAAAATACAGTCCTTTTACCTGTTCAGATTACTCAAAAGGCGGTGATAAATGATAATGTAAAAAATTACTACGGAGCACTGAAAAGAAAATAATTGTGAACAGATCTACACGGAGGGCAAACCCTTTGAGTAGAGTATTGTTAATCTTGAATGCTTTCGAGGATCAATGCTTGTTCTGACGACCAATGACCATGTACGACAACCTTGGGATATCTAAGATGGATTTAAGTACCCCCCCTGGCTGCAGATAAAATGCTGCTGAGATCATGGCTTGATCTCCAGATTTAAAACACAAAAGTTCTAACACATAGCACTTAAGATGAAAGGATTAGAAGACATTTACTTTATCTTTGCAAACCCGAACATGCTCTTTGAAGTATTTAATTTGATGACTAACTTATCTTAACAAAATACTTAAATGTCCATTAAACGGCAAAAGAAAGCAAGAAGAAACATGGTCATATCAATTAGTTTAGTATAAAAACTTTATTCTAGGCTTCCTTCAGAATTGAATTAAAGATTTGGATAGTAATATTTAAAAAGCTTTAGGTTGTAATTAATTTGTCACCCTTTTTGTTATCCATGCATAATGCATATTGCATATATTGACCTTTGAGTTACTTACAGGGTGTCCTACGAAACATGACAGTTGGTGAATGTCTTTTTCCACAATTTGTTAAGTTGTTTGATACCAAAGATCAATATAAATATTATATGGAAGTAATGTTATTTTAAAATTGATTTGCAAGTAAAAGATAATTAAGAAAAAATTTTTTTTAACTAAAATTAACTATTTACTAAATGCCATGTTTCGTGGGACACCCTGTACTGTATCTGATCATTGTTATCAAAGCTATGTCTTCTTTTATCTTTTGTAAACTTGATTTTTACTAAAAATTTGCATTTTGATGTTGAAGTTCAATGTTTGTTGTAATCAGTACGTTTATTAAAATATAGTGTATATACTTAAATAAATTGTGTAGAAAGATTTGTCTTTAAAAGAAATCACAGAAAAACATGTTGAATTAAACACTAAACCTTTTACAGCCAAATAAGAAATATCCAATAATTGATTTATATAATCATACAGAACTAAATAATTAATCTATATAATCATATAGAACTAAATAATTAATCTACATAATCATATAGAACTAAATAATTGATCTATTTAATCATATAGATCTAAATAATTGATCTATATAATCATATAGAACTAAATAATTAATATATATAATCATATAGAACTAAATAATTGGTTTATATAATAATATAGAACTAAATAATTGGTTTATATAATCATATAGAACTAAATAATTGATCTATATAATCATATAGAAGTAAATAATTGATCTATATAATCATATAGAACTAAGTAATTGATCTATATAATCATACAGAACTAAATAATTGATCTATATAATCATATAGAACTAAATAATTGATCTATATAATCATATAGAACTAAATAATCGGTTTATATAATCATCTAGAACTAAATAATTGGTTTATATAATCATATAGAACTAAATAATTGATCTATATAATCATATAGAACTAAATAATTGATTTATATAATAATATAGAACTAAATAATTGATCTATATAATCATATAGAACTAAATAATTAATCTATATAATCATATAGAACTAAATAATTAATCTATATAATCATATAGAACTAAATAATTGATTTATATAATAATATAGAACTAAATAATTGGTTTACATAATCATATAGAACTAAATAATTGATTTATATAGTAATATAGAACTAAATAATTGATCTATATAATCATATAGAACTAAATACTTGATTTATATAATCATATAGAACTAAATAATTGATTTATATAATCATATAGAACTAAATAATTGATTTATATAATTATATAGAACTAAATAATTGATTTATATAATCATATAGAACTAAATAATTGATTTATATAATCATAAAGAACTAAATAATTGATTTATATAATCATAAAGAACTAAATAATTGATATAAGGTAAAATTTATTTGTTAACAAATCTAAGAAATTTTTATATCTTAACTCCTCTTAAATACAGAGAAAACTCCCCTCTCCACGTACGCAAACATGGTTATAAAACTCTTATGTATTTTTCTTCCTTTTCCCTTTAGTTTCACGTTAAGAATTGATTTCCATGGAATGAAGGTTGGTGTAGTTGGTGTTTGTTTAAAAAATAATTTATGGTGTTTGCCGTGTATTGTGTAGAGTGTGAGTGTGAAACTAGAAAGTTAATCTGACAGAACCCGACTGTTATATATTTTGTTACCAAGCAAAAACCAAAATAAATTAAGCCGATGCCTCGAATTGGTTTCACTCTATGGTGTCTTTGTCTGATGAAAAAGTTTAGTCCAGTTACAATAAGAGAAATACAAAGACTAATTCTTGAAACTAATTCTGTATATTTTCAGATAAAATGATTTTACAGTACCCACAGAAAACACTCAATTGAGAATGTGAAAAATAGAATTTATAAAAGATTGTTGAGTGGCGAGGAACATCAGGGATCAAATATGGAGAAACGAAAAGTGCTTCGACAACGAAGCATTGATAAAGAGGCAGAGAAAGCCAAACGGCAGAAAACATTACAAACCACGCTATCTAAAATCATCAAGGTAAACTGTCTAATTTTATCAAATAAGAAGAGTTCAATCTGGGAAATCTTTCATGTTAGTGATTTCTAATTATGAATATAAACAAAAAAAAAATATTGGTAATTCCCTAGTATACGATTCTTGGACCCCTTCCCCCCCCCCCCCCCCCCCCCTCTTATCAATTTTGTAGATGGATCTTATGTGTAAAACATGGATATAAATAACTATGTCGCAGCAGCACCCGGCCCCATAGCCTGTCCTAGCCGCAGTGCTCAGCCCCTTAGCCTGTCCTAGCCGCAGCGCTCGGCCCCTAGCCTGCCCAAGCCACAGCGCTCGGTCCTGAAATTGTCTAAACCTCACCTAACCCTGAAATAATTCAAAATAGCTTAAAATTAATGGTCATGTACAAAATTGATAGGAGTGTGGTTCAAAAATCGTATACTAGGACGGACCCAAAATATGGGAGAGTGAAATTGAATAAATCTTAAGCGTTTTGTCACCTGACGGCACAATTCGCACAATAGGCTCTTTCTTGACAACAGTGAACCGACATTGTTTTTGATATTTTCATTTTCAAATTCAATCACTTTTCAACAAAATTATATACATTTATTTTTCGTAGTTATGTTAGGTTAAGACCATTTCTGGGTCAAGCGCTGCGGCTAGGACAGGCTAGGGGGTCGGTACTGCGCCTGCATATCTAACTTTGCCTTTTCAGAAGTTGAACACTTTGTCGATAAACAACCAAATCAGTTATCATAATTTTTAGAAAGGAGATGAAGAATTGACAAGAGAGGAGGTAGACTTACTGGAGGACAACGATGAAATTGTTCAGGGGCTCAGGTAGGATTTAAGGTTTATACATGGGAAAGGGGGGGGGGGGCTTTGTCATAAAACCCCTATAGGAATAAAATATCAATTTTTGGAATTGTTTTAAAAGATGTAAGTCGGGCTTGCTCCTCTTGAAATAATGCCTCCAGTCCCTTAAATACAAGATAAATCAAATAACGGTTATCATTAAAATATGATTTAAACTTAAATTTTGCATGCAAGACTAATGATGATAAAGGAAACCTAAATAATGTTGAAAATCCTTTAAAATACATCCTATTAACCAAATGTTGACTGTTGACTGTTGAGGGCTCGGAAGAGTAAGGGTATAGAGCAGAAGGACAGAATGAAGGAGTACGAGGATGATATGGATGTATTGAAGAAGAAGTGTATGAAGCTAGCTGAAGCTATCTCTAGATCTAAACGTCTAGTAGTATATACAGGAGCAGGGATATCAACTAGTGCTAATATACCGGATTACAGGGGGCCTAATGGAGTCTGGACGCTTCTAGATCAGGTATGGAAGACTAGACTTTTTATTTACAGATTTAAGAATTTTCGTGTTTACTGTCGTTACAGTGTTTTGTTTTCATATGTCATTAATTTAATTTATTTTTATGTTTTATTTATCATTATTATTCGTGTAATAATCTCAACATTGTCTAAGGCAAGTTAATAGCATATTGTCGTTATTTGGTGAATTAATCTCTAGACCCAGAAAGGGGCATATTGAGAATATCTGCGTAGAGTCTATAGATTCACTGAGTAACTCCATATAAGGAGCAAGATCATTTACTATCAACTCACTTGCAATCCGTCTCATTTACTATCAACCTCAGCTCAGCACCCGTTGGGGCCTGAAATCCATAGATTTCACATGTTAAGTTTCTGGTATCCTATAGAAAACTTGTCAACCCAAGGTCTGGTAAAAGAAAGAAGAAAGGACACTCGAAGAAAGCCATGATATTAGTTCAAGCTTTGCAGGTAGTTTTAAACCAAAGTTTTTATTATTAAACAAAATTATTGATAATTTTTCATCTCTGGCTTGATAATTTAGTATTTGTATATGTGTCTAATTTTTGAACTGAGTATCACTTAGGAAGAATATGTCATCCTCTAGAAATATATGGCGAACTCATTCGAAAGCAATATTAATAATTAACACCAAGCCTAGACTTTTCCAAAATGTGGTCTGCCATTTTTTTTTGCTTTCAAAATTACCAGAGATTTTAAGAATTCTTTTTAATTTCCATTTTAAATTTTGAACTAATTTTNACTTAAACAATAAAAAACTAACCTTACCAATCGGATATTCAGTAAGTCAACACATCTGATTAGAAATAAAAAGAAATCTATTCTGGTTAATATAAATCACAATAATTAATTTACAATTTACATATATATAAATATATTCATTATTCATCCATAAATCAAATATGTACATTGTACTCAGACACTTACAAGAAAAATCATGATTTTAAATGAAAAATATTTTTTTTTAATATGACACAATATTTGCTACAAGGACTTTATAAGCAGGACAAGTAATAGAATTTTTATTCTCTCTACCAGGATAAATCAGATCAGGATTGATAGACGAGATTACATACAAAGTTTAGATAAGGATCAACGGTTTTACCATGGTTTTACCCTTTAGATTAAAGATTATCACTTTAGATTTGCCCGCATTTATTGCAAGTTTATGAGAGCGCAACCAAACTCCAATTCTTTATAACTCTTGATTGACAAAAGGGACCATTTCATTCAAATATTTGCCTTAACAAAGACCTGTCGTGTCATCAACAAAATATACGTTAAGTAGGGCATTATACTTATGTATTTAATTTATGCATATCAAAAACAATAATGTACCTAATATTGACCACTGTAGAACAGAAATGTTAAAAGACTTTAAGAATTCAGAAATCTTTCCATTTACCATTACAAATTGCTTCCTATATTTTAAATAAGTTTCAACCCACTCTAATGCAACCCCCTTCACCCTTATATTACGCAGTTTTATATGTTCCCTTTGGCCGGCCAAAACGTCTGGACCAAATGGGCTGAGTTATTTCGAGGGAACCAATGGGTACCCTGCAAACAAATTCTAAAATATTTATTTTTCAAAAATCTTATTTTTTTAAATCATATTTTTTTCAAAATTCGAAATTTTCATTTCTCATTTTTTTATTTCCACAGGCAACGCTATGCCCTTCAGCTAGTAATATATAAATACAATTGAGAAATACAGTGAAACCCTAAATAACGAATACATCGAAAGAATTTATCAAATGTCGTATTCTTCACTTTCTGATAATAGAATATTGCAGTAGAATATTGTTTAGTTTTTTAATTAAATGATTATATGGAACTCTTTAAAACTGTTCCCGCATATTCATGGCTATTTATTTATTTTCGCAAATACTGAAATTTACATAATACAGTATAAAACTCATTGAAAAATTGTCAAGACGACATTTGATAAATTCTTCCGATGTGTTTGTTATTAAGGGTTTCACTGTATTTATACTAAAATTGGTAAAACAGAAAAAGAAGCGTTACTTTGTTTACAATGTGCGATGACAAAGTTTTTTGGAAACAATCGATCCTTTCAAGTGAACTTAAAATTTTTTAGTTTTTGCACATGGCACACTTTATACTTTATACGAATTGTAGACATAATTTTAAGTGACCGGCCCTAAAGTGGCGTGCATGATTCACAAGAGTACAATTACTATATACATCGATAACAAGAAAACAATGGAACAGGAAGACAACATTACAGCAATACTTAAGTGTATTTGATGTTGTTACAAAGCAGATAGTTTTACCAGACATTTATTAAATCATCAATTTTATGAAATGGGTCTGTTTACACTGCACAATTGATATTTCTCAAGCTCATTGGACTTATTATATTTTTTACTTGATTCTAAAAGTCGTCTTCCTATTTCAGAGTTTTCTATACTTTGTTTGATGCAGGTTGCAACGGATAATTTTGTTTGGCGGGGTGAAAGTATTGCTACTGAGGTTCCAGAAGCTAAACAAGATGTTATAATAGCAGTAGGAGATATTAGGTAATCTCACCAATCAGAGAACTATTGTACTGTAGAAATCGAGATGAATGCTTGATCTCGATCTCATGTTAATCTACAGATTAATCTAATCTTTATTCGATTTATTTTGAAGTGTCTATCAGATATCCCGGGAACAGCCAATCAGAAGCCTAGGAATTTTGCTTTTAACAAATAACAGAATAGGGAAACTGTTGATATCCAAAATTAAGAAATCAAGCAGATTCTGCGTAAAATTCAAAAGTGTCTTCTGTGGATATGGAAATCAATTTCTAATACATATATCATTGCAACCAGACGTCGTAACCTTTGAAACCAAACCAACTAAAAACTAAGATATATGAATAAAGATATCGTTTATGCTCTCAACTATTTTAATATCTAGAGCTCGTGGAACAGCAATGACTGTGAGTGCAAACGAGTTTGCTTCAGATCCATGTTCACAGGTTTTATACATTCACCATTTTTTATTTTTAAGAGATTAATGACGTAATATTAAGTCTGCCTGAATTATGCAGGTGGCTTGTTCTAGTTTATAATAGTCTTATTGAAACCTTTGTCTGATCATGGATGAATGAGAAATCCTTATTTTTCTATAGTTGTGGTTTCTCTTTAACAGGGACTTGCAGATTTATGGTGCAGAGACAATTTAGGAAATTTTGAGAAAAAATAGGAAAATTCCTCATTTTTACTCAGATAGAGGGAGGGTACCAATTTGAATCGGATATTTAACTCTGTAAACGAAAGACCACAACTGAGAAGTGAAAATATTGATATCATTAGCCAGAACTCCTTTCTTTTAATTTACATAATCCTAGAATTATTCAGAATTATGAGTTTTAATCACTTCATAATACAGGAATACCCAAAAATGATGAGCCTGTGAAAAACTCTAAAAATATGACAATTTGAAGCAGCTTGATTTTTGGTTTCTGGATTCAATCAAGTATTTTGATGGTTTACTAAATGACTAAGCACACGAATAAGCAAGTTTTGGTCTGCAAGAAACCCTGAATGCAAGAAAATGTATTAAACAAATTCCGTACAATCGTCTCTTCAGTCTCGTCCTTTGTGGGTAACCCTGTATATAAATCATTCGTAATAAGTATATTTTTTTCAGGATAAACGAAATAATATGGTCTTCTGTGCCAGAGAACTTTTAGCATCAGTAGCAAGGTATTTTCATAAGTTTATATAGAAATTACCATTTATACTTTAAATCTTTAATAAAACAAGGAAATCCCCGGGGGATTTAGGAGGAATACAAGATTTTTAGAGTTCTTACCTTATGTCCATAGATTAATTAAAATAACAGATAGGACACTAGATGTCGTTCTTTCAAGATTTGTGTGTGTTTCGTTCATAAATCTTGAAAAGACAACAATAAGTAGGGGGGCGGGGGTGGGTTTGAGTTTGGGACACAGTAATATAAAATCCTATTCAGCATTTCGTAGGGAAAAAAAGGAAAGACAAAAATCATTCTGCTTGTTTATCTAATTGGTCATCAGGCCTTGTTTGATGCATAACATGTTAGACGCCTAGATTTCTTGCATAAAACACACTGCAGGTCAAATAAACACTGGGTTCACTAGATGGGCTGGTACGAGTATGAATACCACAGACGTTGACGGAAAACCTCGCACTGATTTGGATCATGCAATAATGGGACCCATGCTTAATCCGTCATTGGAAACCGACGATAGGATCAATAAAAATGCAAATATATTTCAGATTATTGATTATCGCGGATATGATTGATGTCCACGTGTTGATGAGTGCCGTCTACTGTGTTAACAATGATATTGAATTCTTCAGGAAATATTTAAATTGCAAATATAAGAAATAAAACCGTTTTTTCTCCAAGGAAGAGGGGAGGGATTTGATGCTTTTATGAAGGTTGCGTTTTCCCCTACAGCTACAGCTACAGCTAAACCATTAAATAAGCCATCAAAAGACTATCTTCAAGACAGAAGATTTATTTTAACCTTGAGATTGATAGATCTGCTTGGCAATCTCATCCTTTGTGGGAAACCCTGTAATATGAGTAATGATGGAGGAAGCAGATTTCAATCTGCATGGATTATGGAAGAACATTTGTATTCATTTCACTTACTAGAACTAAAAAACTTAATAATAATATCAAATATCAAAGATGAAATATAAAAAAAGATATTCTGAAAGAATTTAGTCTTCGCATTGTCACAAACTTTGATTTTCTAATCATTAAATCTTAAATCAGTCGAATATCGTAGATCTGATTATATTTCAAATTATGTTAGAATAAATAATCTAAGTTTGATGTAACAAAGATTTACGCCACCAGGTTGACAAAATATAGTGATACAAAATTTAAATTTGTTGCTCGACTTAATTTCTTCAGTTTATCTCTTTTCATTTTATCTTTGACATTATAAATATAACTGTAGTATTTAATTATAAAGCCATGTTAAAAGATATGAATTGTAAAGAAATTTTTACATGTTTTTACAACTTTTTGGGGTCTTTTTAAGAATTGATCTGAATTTCCCTGAATTTATTTTAGATATTTAAATATTTGATTTAAAAGACATTTACGGAGTCCGCCTGATCTGATGGAAGGAATGAGAAGGTATATTTAAAAAAGATTAAAAAACAAATAAAAATTTATAAAAATAGACCACTCTATTCTCTGAGCTAAAATCTGTAAATTTCGTAAGTAATAATAAAGCTAAATAAACGAAATTAAATTTTTTAATTTATAAATAATTCCATCATTCCATTTTTAGATTTCAGAAGTCCGCTCATCAGCTTGGAGTACAGGCGGGGAAACGACAAGCAGAACTTAAGGTAGAGAATTCATGGTGTCAGGGGAGGGAATAATATATATATAATAATATCTGTTTTTTTTGATTGAATAATAAATTGACTATACCTATGATGTATATCTATATATATACTAAGGATAATGAGATGCAGTATGAACTAGCAAGTGCTAGAGCTGTATTGAAGAAAACTACTCCACTTCTCTTTACAGCTTGTAATGTTCATGTCAGGTATATTATCTAAATCATTACAAGACAGTTTCAAAATCCTTAGATCAGTTCTTCGACCAATCTGAACATAATGAATACTGGCAAACTTAAAAAAAACCAACAGTAGTGTCCAAAATAATTTTCACAATATTCATTATTTTCTTCCCATTTTCATGAACTCTGTTTTATCTGATTGAATTCAGTTTACATATAAACTATTTTCAAGGTATCCAGATATGACAAGGTCGACAGAAAACAAAGATTTGGTAATTCGAGATGTGTGCAGGTACAAATACCATATATTTGAAAATCTAAGGTCTACCACATTTGGTTGCGAAGATTTTGCGATTAGAAAATCAGAGTTTTTGGCAAAAACTCAGCTTCTTTCCAAGTTGTTTTACAAATGATAATTAAGTAGAGTTTAGTTTTTTTTTAAATACTTGAAACAAATAAAACAACATGGAATCCAAGTGGAATGGATAGATTAAATTGATGTAACTTGCTTATAATAAACTAGCTTGGGAACTGTTTACCCGCGCTTTGTCGTATACTACGATTTTTCCTTTTTTTTTCTTTGAAAGTAGACCCATGCCAAACTTAGAATCTTGGTTACCTAATCAAAATTTGAGGCAAATCGGTCCAGGGGTTCCTAAGTTATGATCGGACAAACACACAAACAGACAGACACCCAAACAGAGGTTACATCTTTATAAATATAGATAGAAGACACAACGGGTTTATTCTCAGATTCTACAGTTCATATTAATCCTTTTCTTTAAACGTAGAACATTGTCAGGGCTGTGACGAGAATAGGAGATATAGCGGAAGGAAAGGAGGATCTTCTTCTTCATACTAAATATAATCCCAGGTAATAGCTCTTGAAGGGAGTGCATGATTGGCAATGTATCTGATTTCCTGTAAGGTACCCTTTAAACCTCTGTCTGATTTCCGGTAAGATTAAACCTCTGTCTGATTTCCGGTAAGGTACCCTTTAAACCTCTTTCTGATTTCCGGTAAGGTACCCTTTACACCTCTGTCTGATTTCTGGTAAGGTAGCCTTTAAACCTCTGTCTGATTTCCGGTAAGGTACCCTTTAAACCTCTGTCTGATTTCCGGTAAGGTACCCTTTAAACCTTTTTCTGATTTCCGGTAAGGTATTCTTTAAACCTCTGTCTGATTTCCGGTAAGGTACCCTTTAAACCTCTGTCTGATTTCCGGTAAGGTATCCTTTAAACCTCTGTCTGATATCCGGTAAGGTATCCTTTAAACCTCTGTCTGATTTCCGGTAAGGTATCCTTTAAACCTCTGTCTGATATCCGGTAAGGTACCCTTTAAACCTTTTTCTGATTTCCGGTAAGGTACCCTTTAAACCTCTGTCTGATTTCCGGTAAGGTACCCTTTAAGCCTCGGTCTGATTTCCGGTAAGGAACCCTTTTAAACTCTGTCTGATTTCCGGTAAGGTACCCTTTAAACCTCTGTCTGATTTACGATGAATGCAATATCATTGTCATTCCAAATGAAAATTAACGAACTGCCAATAAAGCAGACTAGATGTAGAACTACAAAACGACAATATCGATCCTAATTTTTTAAATCCAAGACTAAGGTTTGAAGGGTACAGTTGGGAAGCGACTCAGAGATTCACCAGATTGGAATATTTTAAATTTCAAGAAGTAGTTAAACTAGATATGGATAGTTGAACTACTCTTTCTCTATTGATGTAACCGAGGTGATGTCCTAAAAAATCAGTCCACCGTTGGTTAAAAAAATATTAGATATTTCAAGCCCCCCTGCACCCTGAATATATCTCTTTCTTCCGCCTGGAAACCTAGAATCTAAATCTCAATCTATTGTTTCCTTCCTTCCTTCAAGTTTCCTTTGTATCTTGTTCAATCCACTTCAATGAACAGTTCTATCAACTCTTTCAGAACCTTGGTTTAAAATACCCATTCGTACTAAACAAATTCAATTTAGACTTAGTCACAAGCTTTTTAATCAACATTTTTTTTCAAACAATTATTGTTTTTATTTCTGGCTTCTTTAGCAATGGTAAATTGCGTATTTCTTGCTTCATAACCAATGTAAAAATTGTCAGGATTAAACACGTTTTAAGCCATAAAACGGCTTTATCTAACACATTATTGATCCAATAAAGATTTCAAGGGTACCGTTGTAAATCGGAAATGTCTCTCTAAAAAATGAAGGGTCCCCTAAAACTCCGACAACAGTCCCTTTCATTGAATTAAGATAACATTTTGTTTTAAAACCTTCCATTGTTATTAACATTTTATAATTTTTACTCAAATATTGGGTCTTTTAGATTTATCAAACTGTACAAAAAATCTGACTATTTTATGTTTTTCCTTGACCAAATATTGGTTAATTCACATTGAGAGCAAAATCTAACATCATCAACGAAAAAGAAATGAAAAAGTAAAAATTGGCTTGACTGGTAGGTTATATAGATTTATGCGCGAATAGAAATATTTACAAAAATCACATTTCAGCTTCTCCCACGGTCAGCTTTGGTGCTAGAATTTTCAATACGTTTGTAAACTATCTTAAAGCCATGATAAACAAATTCACAATTTCGATCAGCAGATATCTTTACGGGTTTTTGAATGAGAGTCAAAGATAAAAATTATTTTTCCTATTTTTAGCCTGAAAAGGCTACAATCATAACAATTATGGGTCGGTTTTGTAAAAGATAGTGAAACCCAACAGAAGCATTTACTAAACGAATTACCAAATTTGTTTATCATTGATTGTAAGATAATTTATAGATGTTTTGAAAGCTCTATCTCTAAATCTTACCATGGGAGAAACTTAGAAGGGCTTTTTGGATATATTTCTTTACGGGACCAGAGCTAAATATCCTACAAACCAAGCCAATTTTTTGCTCTTGCATTTATTCTTCTTGGATGTACACATTAGATTTAGTTCTCAATGTGAATAATATTTAGTCAATTGGAAAAACATAAATTATGATCAGATTTTTTGTACAGTTTTATAAATATAAAAGACTTAATAATTGAGTAAACTTTTACATGATGATTTTTCTGAAAATACCAACTTGGTTTATTATTTATTACTATAGTCTGGTTGAAAGATTGTTAGAACTGAAGACCTGCCTGAAAGAGAACGAGGAATGGGTTGAAAGCATCAATTTCCTAGGTATACACTATAAAATCAAGAAAAATAAACCAGGATCCAATATACCATATTTATACAAAAGATTGTACAGAAATTTTAGAAAAAAAATAGAAAAAACATAAGGCATACACAGCCATACACCTACACTTTTTATGTAAACAAATATTAGAACATTAGGAGGTTCTTGTTGTTTTTCATTGAGTATTTTCTTATCAAAACTCTTTTTTTATTTAAAGTTGATTTTTGAAACATATTTGAATATATGGTTTGTGACTTATAAACATTTCTTTGTTCTTCTGTGCTGATGCACACCTGTACTACCCACCAAACAAGTTCAGATTTTCCATGTCAATATCCTAGTTTATGTAGCCTAGATATCAATGAAGAACCATCAATGTTCCTCGTTAGTATGATTCTTAATTATACTGTTCCTTCTTTTACCTAGTTTATATAGTCTCAAAACTAATGAGCTAACATAATTTCTCTTTAATTTAAAAAAGAAAACTAGCTCCCGCGCATGTATTTTGAAAACATGCACAAAGTTATGTTTAGCACTTTCTAATATGCGACAACACAAACTGTGTTTGTAATATCTCTCAGTCTTATTGCATACAGATATGCTACCCTATTATAAATAATGTAGTTTGTTTTTTCTCTTGAACTGCTGCCTTATCAATACTTGAATATAAATGTATCATTAATTTTGGCAAGAAAAAAAAGATAAAGTGTATCCGTAAACTAATTGATTTCTTCTTAATTTTTTAAAAATGTATGTACACGATATTGTTGTAAAATAGTTTTATTTAATACATGTAAACAATTTTGTGCAATTAATATAATCTCGATACGGAGATAATAAATATCTAGATCTCAAAAAAGATTTTCCATGTCCTTGTTTATCATTTATATAGAAACCCGGTTATAACCATCCAACCCTCCAATATTCTTCTAATCCTGTAATACTATATTCAGGCTTATTTATATAATAAAACAACACATTCATATACATGTTTATCTGGCCGACCAAATAGCTGGACCGAATGGACTGAAATTTTTTTTGACAGTTATGGCTGGCCGGGTATAGTGTCATATGCTAAATAAATTTCGACTTTTTATTTTACAAATAATTTTTTTTCTTCAAATTTTTCTTTTTTCTCTTTCAAGATTTTAATGTTTTTGTTTTCCACGGGCAACGCCGGGCCCTTCAGCTAGTAAAGAAATATATGTACTGTATAAAATTCCTGGCGTTGGCTATAGAATTTTAAAATATGTATTTTTTTAAATTCGAATTTTGATAAAATATATTTTGATTTAAAAAAAAATCCTATTTTTTGGGGTTTCCTTAAAAATTCAAGACAATTATGCCCAGATTTTTGACCAACTATAGCTAACATATATATAAATATATCTTCTTAAAATAAGTTTGGAACATTTTCTGTTGTTTATTAATATTGGTTATTGCTGGACACTGTGTTTCATGTTTGACATTCTTCAGCACAACATTCTTATAAATATATACATATATACAAATTTATATATAACTATATAGATATACGTATACATATGTTTGAGTGAAGAGCTTTATTTTATAAATATATATATATATTAAGGTAAAAAAAAGAATGTATAATGATGTTGTTTAGTTGAGCTGTTTGCAGAGATACGAACAAGAATAACTGGACTCACTGTAATACAAGAAAATAACAAAGAAAAACAGGTTAGATTTATATTTGATACTGTTTATCAAGGTCGTATAATAAGGTTGCTTTCTCTCGATGCGCTCGATGTAGGGGAAATGTCGTTTCCAAACCATTTATTGATAAAATCCTCATATATGACGTCACTGATTATACGGTTGAGAGTGACGTCATTAACGGATTTTTATCTATCTATCAGCTTGGGATCTCAGTGCTACTCAGATTACTAAAAGTTACTCCCGCCTTTTACCCGCACTTGAACAATTTTAACGGGAAACTCAATTTTCGCAATTAATGTCGACATAATCAACTTAGAATCTTACCACCGAGCTTCAAACATTTCCATGTGTCTAGCTCCCGAGTTCCCCAATCAAAATTTGAGGCAAATCGGTCCAGGGGTTCCTGAGCTATGATCGGACAAAAAAAAACAGACAGACAGACAAACAGAGATTACAACTTTATATAGATGTTAAGGAGACGACATTTCCCATACATTTGGAGCGCATCGAGAGTAAGCACCTCATTTTTTAACCTTGCTTTTTATACTTTACTGGTTGTATTGATTATTAAAAGATCAGACAGGTAATTAATGAATAGGTAGATTAAGCTGAACAACAGTAATAACCAGAAAACAATGGAATAGAAAGACGACATTATAGCATTTTTTTGTTTCTTAGCAAATGGCTTTACTATACACTTATTAACTCACAAATTTAGTTAAATGGGTCTGCTCACCCTGCATAATAGCTGTGTCTCATGTTCATTGGACTTTTTAAAGTTTTAGCTTGATTCTAAAAGTCGTCTTCCCATTTCCTGCCTCTGTATTGGAACATATTTTAAACTCTCAAATAGCGAAAGATACTTTTTTATTTTGATATTCAATATAAATACTTTACAAAAATGTATTTAATAGAAAATACAAAAATTCGATATATGTGAAAATCAGATTTAAAGTTTGGACTTGTAAACTAAAACCGTTTATGTAAGAAAATAGGATTTGTCATTCCCTTGCTCCGGTGGACCGGAGGCCACTGGAGGGAAATTGTTTCCGCCGGAGGGAATAAAGATTCCACTGGAGGGTTGGTAATCAACACTCAGGATTAATTAACACTAATTAATCCACCGGAGGGATACTGCAAATTATCCTGAGTCAGAATTCAATGAATTTGAGCCGCGTCTTAAATCCACAAAAAACCGGTTTCAATTGAGCGCCGTCTTCAATCTTGAAACATTGAATACAAATTTAAGTGGAAACAGCCATATTTAAGCCGCGTCTCAAATTTAAGCCGCAGCTCAAATTCTGCTGCAAATCATCCTGGGCACTAATAACCAAGCTCAGAACACTGATTACTTGACTGGAGATATGCTGTAAATCACATTGAGAGTTTAGGATCTTTCTAAACAATCTTGGTAATTTTTCATTATTTTCTAAATATTACTATTTGTTTTAGATTGAGATTGAAGAGTTATGCACCGAATTAGAAAACTTGTTCGACCGACAGAAAAGAAACCAGGAAACAAATTCAGTTTTTTAAATTTACAATCTTATCAAGTTTATTTTTTCTTTCTCATTTGCTATTAATCAATTAATGTTCCAAAAAAACTAGTTTAAAACTAAAAGAAAATCAAAAACTGTTAAACATTGCAAGATATTGTTGTAAAATAGTTTTATTTAATACATGTAAACAATTTTGTGCAATTAATATAATCTCGATACGGAGATAATAAATATCTAGATCTCAAACTATACCGATCGGGTCCAAATTTTTTGTGGGACTTCACATGTCCCTAGGGAAGGTTAACGGATGTTCAAAGTTACAAAATATTGCCTCCAAAAAAATTTGATTGTCATTAAATTTAGAAAATCCACGATTTTTGTTTTGTAAAATCCGGGAATTTTTCTTTGTTTTCGTTTTACAATGTTTACAAATGTTCACAATTTAAAAACAAAGATGGGTGCAAAGCGCTTTAAAAGCTTTGTACTAGAAATTTTCTAAAATTTTATTCTAAAATCAATATACATTCTACAAGAACTTAAATGATAAAAATGTTAAAAAATAAAATATTAATGAGATATACTGAATAAGATAATAAACCCTGAATTAGTTGGAAGAAACCGGGTTAAGGGAGAAGCTTATACAACTCATGGATACATTAAACCTGGTCCTACAGCAGCTAATATACAACCAGGGAGCTACCAGCAGTTCATCTATCTAAATAGGGGAGGGAGGAGGGGGGGGGGGGGAAAAGTTTAATTTGCCACCCCTGATCTGCTTGTGTATAGCGTTCTTCTATTCTCCCGTCCTACTGTTCAAATGATGTAAAGTTCTCCTGTTTTGCTGTTCTGCTGTTCTGCTATTCTGCTGTTCTGCTGTTCTCTTGTTCTTCTATTCTGCTGTTTTCTTGTTCTGCTATTCTCTTGTTCTCTTGTTCTCTTGTTCTCTTATTCTTCTATTCATCTATTCTGCTGTAATCTTGTTCTCTTGTTCTCCTGTTCTCCTGTACTCCTGTTCTCATCTTCTCTTGTTCTCTTGTTCTCCTGTTCTCCTGTTCTCTTGTTCTTGTTTTCTCCTGTTCTCTTGTTCTTTTGTTTTCCTATCTACTATCATCATGGTCAACTGTTATCTTGTTCTGCTGTCATCCTGTTCTCCTCTTCTCTTGTTCTGCTGTTCTACTCTTCTCTTTTTATCCTGTTCTCCTGTGCTCCTGTTCCTTTGTTCTGTTGTCCTGCTGCTCTGTTGTTCTGTTGTTCTGCTATTCTGCTGTTCTCCTCTTCTCCTGTTCTGCTGTTCTACCGTTCTCCTCTTTTCTTTTTATCCTGTGCTCCTGTTCTCCTTTTCTTTTGTTCTCTTATTATCTTGTTAACATGTTCTCTTGATCTCGTGTTCTCTTGTTCAACTGTCCTCCTGTTCTCCTGTTCTCCTGCTATCCTGTTATCCTGTTCTCCTGTTCCCTGTTCTCCTGTTCTCCCGTTCTCCTGTTCTCCTGTTCTCTTGTTCTCTTATTCTCCTAAAAGCTGTTGAATATATTTAAAGTTTATAGCGTCTAGTATACATATATCAGTATTTATCTGTATTTTCTCATTTCCGTTATATTATCATCAACTCGTTCCTCCCCCCCCCC